CATTTGTTCTACTTTGTTGTGACATTTATGAAACCGAGCGTAAAACGTCTGCACTTTCTGTCTGCAAAGAAAAACAAGAGAACTGAATATGAGAGAAGAGATGGATGGAACTGGGACAAAGCAAAATATTAAATGAATAAATGCATCAGAGAGTGTCATGTTGCCATTCAACATCATGTTTCCCATTTGCTTGACTGTTTAGTTAATGTCTCGAGGTAGCTACATGTTGTATGTATTTCTGGTTTAAGTGTGATTTTTTACAATATTATGCTACTTATTTAGAATTTATATTTACCATGTATACAGTTTTTATTCTTCTTAATATATTGTGATGAGTGAGCTGCTGTGTCCAAATAATTTCCCTTGTGGTTCAGCAAAGTTTGACTAAGTCGAAGTTTGGATTGAAATAACATTTCACTAACTTATAAGGAGAAAATTAAAGCAGACTTATTATGCAAAATCGACTTTTCAGAGCTTTAAACTATGTTATAGGTGTTTTTACTTCTCAAAGTTATATTCAGAGTGATTCATGCACGTTTGAGCATGCATGAGTTATGGCGATGCCAGCTCCCATTGGGCACCACAGTTTTCTAACACAGAAATCAGCGGACTTCGTTTGAGATGAAAATTGTGATTTAAAATGTCCAAATTATAACATAATGATCCACGGGTGTCGTAGATTATACCTTTATAGCAAACACAAGCACTATATATCTTCTTTAACGTATTTCATGTTTTGATTTATACCTGCAGCTTTAAGCTATGAGATTCAAGACATCTGCCTTGTATCAAAAATAAATAAAAGAAATGTTAAATTAAAACAGAAACTTCCAGTGTAGTTTCCCTAACAACATAATAACGTGGTATTTTTCTACATTTTACTTAAAATTCACAAATTCGATTCAATTTCAACCAAGACATTTGCAAGAACCTTGTAACTCATTAATTGCTTACTATATCTGATCTAATTTGTATGCGTTGCTAGCTCTACTCATCTTCCCTTTTGCTCTATTTGGACTCGAGTAGTTAAACATATACTAAAGGCCGGCCATCTTTATGGTTATAGAGAAGTTAATGGCCAAATTGTGGTTGATTCTTGGCAAAGAAGTACAATCTCCATGGACAGGCAGACCCCTCCACTAGAAAAGTTACACAGTGCACCTTTACTGTAATAATAACAGTTTTATAGATTTGTTAGTTAAAATTTTGTGCTACTGAATTTCAACCAAGACATTTGCGAGAACTTGTTTAGCCCATTAATTGCTCATTACATCTGATCAAATTTTTGTAAAGTGGATATCAATATCGCCCCCTAGTGGTCTTTTTATGCATTGCTGGGTCCTCTCATCTTCCCTTTTGCCCTGTTTGGACTCGAGTAGTTAAACATATGCTAAAGGCCGCCCATCTTTATCCAATTAGCTCCTTCAGTTTTCATCTTTGGCTTCACACCAGCTGCTTAACAAACCATTTCCAACCATCTGACTCCACTTCCAAGTCCTCTAAATCTCCTAACCACAGACGTGAACAAATGTCTTTTTAAACAAATCTCAAAGTGAAAGCGTTTGAGCCCTACCATTCGCGGCTAAAATACTGCGCCTGGGTTGTCAGTCATTAATCCCACTCACTTTTCAGACCCATCTTTCTCCATAATGGTTCATTCGTTGCTGGAGATGGCTACGGTAGATTTATGCGCTGGCTCTGGGGCTGCTCCGAACCAGGCCGAGGCAGATGGTAATAAGTTAATATATAGACACACACCACACAGCCACTATTCAGCAGAATTAGGGGCGATTATTCCTGGCCCTTCCCTCCCACTGATGCCCAGCTGTCCGTGCAGGCCAGAACAAAGTTAGGGCCGGACTCAAGCTGGGGTATAACTGTGGATTCAGTGCCGTGTTACGCTCATAAAACATTCGGAGGAGGTGGAAAAATCAACTCCGAAAGGCCAACGTGAAAGTTAAATCAGGACTTCCCTTGCAAACTTTTTAATGTCCCGTATATGGATTATTATGTAGGGCTTTTTAGATTGGGTAATAAAATGTAAAGCGCTACAAAGCAGATAAAATATAAGCAGTGGGAAGAGTTTGCAACCGTAAGCCAATTTAAAGGTGCGTGTTTGTAACTTTTCTGGAGCAGGGTATGCCAGCGTTTCGTTTCTGTGGAGATGTGATGGTTTTGCTTGAAATATTCCATAGTAAGGCATGAAATGAATCTATCTCCATGGAGACTAGCAGAGTTAAAAGTCAGATCTGTGAAGAAATGACCCTTGTCATAGTAAGAACCAATAAAACACCTGTAGTTGAATAAATGCCAAGTAGATACCTTTAATGCCTTACTGTGGAACATTTAAGGCAAAATAGTAACAACAATGTTCCATGGCAGAGATTAAACCTATCTATCTCAAGGGAGACAACCGTAGGTGACACTACAGGTCAGATCTGTGGAGAGGCAAGCCTATTCACAGAGAGAATGCTTGTATTTTTGAGCAAAAGAAACACCTGTATTGAATAAATGCTAGATATATGTGTTTAATGTCGTACCGTGGAAAATTTCAAGCAAAGCAATAACATCTCCATGGAAACAAGCAGGTGGCAGACCCTCCTCCCAAAAAGTTGCACCATTCGCCTTTAAGTTAAAATCTAGTTGCAACAGTTTAAACCAAAGAAAAAAAAGACTCCACTCTCTCTAGATTATGGTGTTTTTATTTTTTAAATTTTGAACCCACAATTATCACCTTGGTTTAATTTTTTTTTTTACAGAATTGCAAAATACAGAGCTGTGGGTGGGGATAGGTGATAGGTGCAAACTGATTTATTTTTTTGAGTCTTGAATACAGGATAAAACAAGATTACTCAACCATGCATGAAGCAATCAATCAAAATACAACTGTAGATGAGGGAAAGAGCAATTATAGTGAAATTGTGTAGTCATCTGTGTGGAAATTTGAAATTAAAAAAAGAACAGAAACTTCCAGCATCGTCTTCCAAACAAGAAAAAAAAAAATCTGCCACCTGCTTGACCTCTACTATTATAACCTCTTTTTAATTCTTCACATTGCAAAGTAGAGCAGTAGTAGCAGAGTGGTGGGCAGGGACAGGGGATAGGTGCAAACAGATTTAATTTTTTTTGAGCGCTCAAGCCTTGAATACAGGACAAAACAAGATTATTCAAGCATGCATGAAACAATCAGTCTAAATACAACTGTAGATGAGGAAAGAACAATTATAACGAAATTGTGTAGACATCTGAAATTACAAAAAAGAACAGAAAATTCCAGTGCAATCTTCCAAACACAAAGAAAAAAAAAGGCTGCCACTTGTTTGACCTCTACCATTGTCAACTATTTAAAGTTTTTCACTGAATTGCAAAGTACAGAGCTGTGGGCGGGGATGGGTGATAAGTACAAACACAATTTTTTGGAACACTGAAGCTTTTGAATGCAGGACAAAACCAGATTACTCAAATGTGCATGAATCTAAATACAGCTGTAGATGAGGGGAAATACAATTATAACCTAACGTCCCGATACATAAAAGTTGATTTACTGACTGTGTATATTTTATAAAGTAGTATAGAGTTTCTCCCTGCCATCTTCTACAGTGTAAAATGTCTAAATTGTTGTCTGAAGAGAGAGCCTGGAGGCAGCTGCTGTTCAGATGAAACTCTTTTCTCTGTTTCCTGTCTGTGAGATCAGACCAGGGAAGTGATGCATGATGGGAAACTGTCAGACCTGCTGCCCGGGATTGTACTGTTAAATGACTCGGCAATGTCAATGGATGTTCCAACATGACAAATGATACAAAGCATGCCCAGAGTAGAAAAGAGCACGTGGGTTAAAGCTACCATCTGTAATTAGACTGGCAGACCCACCCCTGTCAAATACAAATACACTTGCAGGTAGTAGGTTTAAGGGTCCTATATGATGCTATTTTCTGATCTAATTTATCATGTTGTTTTTCATTGACTCAGGTTTCACAGACAGATCCTACATATTTAGACCAAGTTCTTTTCTCAAATGGAAAACATGTGGCAATACAGGAAGTGCTCCATTGTGTTTTAAAATTCCAACTCCTTCAATAGAAACATTTGGATAATTTCAGTCCCGGAATTGCCAATCTTTATTGAACAAAACTTAAAAAGTAGCTGTTAACTTGAAAACTACCTCTACATGACATCACAAGGTGGAAGAGAGCATTTTTGAGCTTTGGAGACCAATAAACCAGGATTACTCAAACATGAATGTGTGAATGAAACAAAACTTCAGATATGTTTTTGATGCGGTAACAACATTACATCATGGCTTAAAGCTCAGAAGAATCAGTTTTGTGTAATATTGGACCTTTTAAGTAAAGTAGAGATGTTCAAATCAAATACTAATTTTATAGACCACAATTCAGGTTTGCATTTTGTTTTGGTCTCAGGCTAGTTATCCAAGCAGAAAGCTCCTCACTTTGGTTTGTGGGATCCTACGACTAAATAAAGTTTGCTATAAGCTTTGTATAATGACTCTGCTCTTACCTCTTACCAGAGAAGTTACACAGTGTACACAATCCACAACCTGCTTGACTCCATGTTTTTGTCCATGTTTTCCTGAAATGTTCTACAGTATGGCATTTAATCTAACTATCTCCATGGAGACAAACAGGACACCTCACCAGGCCAAGTTACAGGTCAGGTCTGTGGAGAAATTGGTCCACCCATTGTTAGTAACGCATGCTTTTGCTGAAGTTTTGAGCGATAAAACACTTGTATTTGAATAAATGCAAGATTTATTGATATAATGCTATACTGTGGAACATCCCAGGCAGAGTAATCCCATCACCATGGAGACAAGGAGATGGCAGACTTTCCACCAGAAAGGTTACACAGTGCACCTTTATAGATAATACCCATACAAGATTTATTTGTTGTCTAGGCTCCAAGAAAAATTATGCCCTCCTTTAATGCAGATAAATCTCATTCTTTCTAAATGTTTCTTTTTATGTGTTTTTTTTCCTCAGGCTGTGTTCACTTTGCTGTTGGGACCCTTCACTTTCTTCAACGCTCAGAAGACCAAATATCTTCAGATCCTCACCTCTCTCATGCGCTGGATCGGTAAGAATTTTAATACTTGACTTTCATATAACACTAATGCAGTTTTGTAGTTTAGACTCTACACACATAAAATACACAAAATACATGGGATTCTCGTATTAGTCTGTTCATATTTCAGTCTCTCTCAAATGTCAGTGCCCCTCGATGGGAGTAAAAAATGCTCTGTCAACTGAAGCTTGGCATTACATTAATCGCAGATCTCATCACAATCACAGTCTCATAACTTACTGGAAAGAAAATGCAGTTAGAAGTTTTCCCAAACTGTTTATCTCCTGTACTCGGAATGTGATCCTTTTTACATTGACTTTGTGTTGATCCGTGGCAAATATATCGACTTAACGTTCAGTATATGTTAGGTGGAACAATTTTTGGGGGTCAATATTTATCAGAGGGACAGTTTCTTTCTTTTACTGGACAATTTTTGTTTATTTTTCTGTATTATTATAGAGATTTGAGCTGTAGACGGTTGAAACATGAACTACTATGACTCACAAACTGAAGGTACACTGTGTAACTTTTCCCTTGGGCGTCCGTCACCTTTTTGTTTTTATGGATATGTCATTACTCTGCTTAGAATGTTCCACAGTATGACATTAAACAGGTCTGCCTTACATTTATTCAATTACAAGTGGTTTTATAGCTCAAAATCCCTACAAAAACAGGGATTCTGACTGTGCACGGGGTCGCCTCTTCACAGATCTGACCTGTAACTTGGTCTGTTTTGGTCTCCATGAAGATTGAAATGTTTAATCCGTACTGTGAAACATTCCAGACAAAGCAATAACATCTCCATGAAGATGATGTTATACTTTGCTGGCGACGGACCCTCGACCAGCAAAGTTACACAATGCACCTTTAAGAGTTGCATTCTGTTATTTATTTATTGCAGTTTCATATTACAATTTTATATATTTATTCTGCTCTGTGGTTTGGTTTCACTGTTATTGTTTATCACAGTACATAATGTGTTTATTGTGACAGGCCTAGGAAACATCACAGAAACCTTTCCTGAATAGCTTTAGAACAGAGGTCTTCAACAGGGAAGAAGTCTTTGGTTGATTAGACTTTTTTTTTTCTTGAAGAATGAGGATGAACTGGTTTTCAGGATGTTCTGTCTGTATGCTCCTTCATCACATCTGTTTCTCTCTTCATCCCCTCATCTCTCGCTCCCTGTCAAACTGCAAACACGACTACAAGGATTTTGTTTCTTCTAGGCTAAATGTGAAGAGTTCTGTTACAGCTTCACTTTTACACATACTGGAACTTAAGCTTCGCAGGTACTATCACACATCTGGAAGGGGCCATGCAGCTTCATTCTCCGGGCACATTAACGAGGCTCTGAAGTCCGCAGTCCCCAGCCAGCTTTCTCTCTACCTGGGGAGCCAACAGGAGAGGAGAGGGGAGTCATGTTTTTCCTCTCGCTCCTCAGATCAGAATGACCGGAAAAGTTCAGTGCCCCAAAATATTAAACTCTTGTCTGTGTGCACTGTGGCCCCTCTCTCGTTTAATCAAAGTGTGAAAAAAAGAATTCACACTTAGAGCCCTTTTTCCGTGATGCCGTTGCTCCATTGATCTGTCCTTCCCAGAGTCATCACGAGCACAGTTATACTTCAGGCCTGAATTAGCTTTGGTCAGACTCAGGCTTATTTCTGTCATGGAACGAATTGACGCTTAAACTGGAGATGGAGCTAGGTTCAGCTCAGGATTTCAGGATAACCCTAGACCTGTTAAGCGACTTCAGTGGAATACCCCCCCTAGTATTAAATGTACGATAACAAGAGTAGCTGTTTATACAAGACACTAAGCCCAATTTATTATAAAACACAATTGTATGCCATTTATATATAGTAGGGGTCCCTGCTCCAGCTCTCCATCAGTTTGGAGGTCCCTGGCCTGAAAAATATTTGAAGACTTGATTTAGAATGATGTTGAGCTGTATCGGAACAAGTATAAGAGCACATAGACTAGTGTACACCCATGGACCACTATGGAACCTACCTGGACCACTGAGGGATTACACACATATAAGACCACATGGGAATAGAAAAGAAAGTACGATGATTTAATGTTGAAAATCACATTGTATTGTATAAAAAGAGCAATTTTTAATTGTCATTGTGGTATTGGAATCGGTATTTTCTTCTTAGTAGTTGAAATTTTAATATTGTGATAAAACTTTTACATAACCAGTAGTCTGTTTATTTAAACTTTTTTGCATAGCTCTGTATTTCCCAAACATTTCTGCTGCCTTCCTCTTTTCCTCTAGCCCAGTTTTTGGCCTAAATCAGCGCCCATAGTAAATTCCTTGTCTCCGGCCACTCCACATTTCCATTTGGTGTCCTTTATGTCGGCCGCCTCTGTCCATCACTCCGCTCGGCTCTTTGATTCTCATCCGTCAGCGGGACAGTCCTGACAGGCCCTTCTGATTGGAGCGTCAGTCACATGGAAAAGTCCCCAGTAACCCCCCTGTTCCCCACTTTATTTGGTTTTGTATTCAAACCTCGGCAGCACAATCACACCATCGCCATTTGGAGAATTGCTCTTTTCATATTTGTTTAGACCTGGGGAGGGATAGTACAGTGCCTTTTGCTAGCATTGGCAACCTGATTTGATTTTAGGTGATGTAGGTATAACTCTGTGTTGTTGTTTTGGAAAGTTTATGACCCCAAGATTGGCCTAAAGCTTCTCATTTTCTTTGTTTTAATTAAAAATCTTATATTATGCAGCTTTTGAGCTGTAAAGCATTATAATGTTGTTACCTCCTCAAAAACATACCCGGAGTTGTATTTTCCTTGATTCACACATGTCTGAGTAATTCTACATTATTAGTCTGTCATTTCACAAGCTCAAAATGAGCCGATCAGATCAGAAAATTGCTTAATATGCAGCAGCAGCTGTAGCAGTAGTAACAGCGGAAGTAGCAGCAGCAGCAGCAGTAGTAGCAGCAGTAGTAGTAGTAGCAGCAGCAGCGGCAGTAGTAGTAGTAGTAATATCAGTAGTAGTAGTAGTAGTAGTAGTAGCAGCAGTGGCAGCAGTAGTAGTAGTAATAGCAGCAGTAATAGCAGCAGTAGTAGCAGCAGTAGTAGTAGTAGTAGTAATAGCAGCAGTAGTAGCAGCAGTAGTAGTAGTAGTAGTAGTAATATCAGTAGTAGTAGTAGTAGTAGCAGCAGTAGTAGTAGCAGTAGTAGTAGCAGAAGTAGTTTCAGTAATAGTTACAGTAGTAGTAGTAGCAGCAGTAGTAGTAGCAGTAGTAGTAGTAGCAGTAGTAGTAGCAGAAGTAGTTTCAGTAATAGTTACAGTAGTAGTAGTAGCAGCAGTAGTAGTAGCAGTAGTAGTAGCAGAAGTAGTTTCAGTAATAGTTACAGTAGTAGTAGGAGGAGCAGTAGTACTCAGTTATTTTTAAATTTACTCTGTCATGCCTAGTAGTAATAATTTGTTGTCAGTGTAAAATAATAATAATACATTTTTTTAGATATCTGATCAATCAAAACTACTTAAATGCAATATACTGTATATGTAGGATATTTGTACATGTACTTTGAATGACACTAGTACTCTGGCTCACCCATAGCCCTATCCGATGTCCCTGTCACCGCTGTTCACCTCTCACTGTCACATCCAAAATGGCCTCTACATCCAGGCTTCAGGAGGACAGGGATTTAGTGATAAGCCCCGAGGATTTCCTATATTTTAGTTAATGCTTCAAATCCAATGGAGAGAGGAGGATTGTTGTGACCAATAGGGGGTTTGTTGTAACAGTATCAGGCCGGCTCAGATGATGAACACTGATCTGCCTGTTATCGGTGATGGAGGTGCCTTAAGCCGACAGCAGACACTTAGGTCCTTTACTGATGTAAGATTTTGTTTTTTTATTTCCAGTTTTTGATTTAAGTTCACTGAGATTGCATTTATTTGACAATACCATGCTTTCAGGGAGACTTAAAAGAGCCTCATTCATGTATTTCAGTAAAATTTGTCTTGCACCGGTACAGACATGTTGTATAAGCAGCTCTTGAGGTCAAAAAAAGTCCACTGTGTACTGTCTAATTTTGAAGCGTTTTATTGTCTTATAACCAGGAAGTGCTTGGTTAGCATGTCTGTTATTGTTAGCTTAATCTTTGAGAGCTTTAATTCTGACTAAAAAATAATTCCGTTTTAAAAAGACCATGTAAACACTTAATTCCTAATGAAAATTATTATTCAGAATTAAAATTAATTCCGAAATAAGTGGGTGGTTTATTCAGATTTTAAAGCCAAATTCATTTATTCCTCGATCATATATAATAAAAAAATAAAATAATTCAGGTTCATGCCCGTTGAGTCACTCTTCTGACGCAATCCAGACGATCTTGGATGCTCTGCTTTTTTGATTTGCGTGCGGGATTTGGGAGTGGGCTGAGGTAGAGCAGCTGTTCACTCAGTTTGTCTTCTTCCTCCCTTCTCCAACTCTTTTCCCTTTTCCTGACATGGGTAAAACGTGATGATATAATTCTTCTTCGGGTCGGCCTAAATACATTTCTGTCCAATCAGAACTCTTCCCCACCCCCAGACGTTGAGCGGAATTAAATAAAGACGATTTAACATGTCCATGTAAACCTCAATTCAGAATTATTATTTCCATGTAAACTTGAAGGAGAATATTTTAATTCCAAACTAAATCGGAATTAAAAAACATCATGTGACGTGGCCTGTGATGGCAAAATTCAGCTCTGGCCAACCATAGCATTCTTACCACCTCACAGTTATGAGTCATTGGTTTCAGTCACACAAAGCAGCTTACATATTCTCGTAAATTGTCCCTCGAGTCGAATTATTTGCACACCAATCTTAACAGACCTTATTGGTGGACCTGTGACATTTTACACAACTTGATTTACATATTTTTTAACAGCAAAACTTTTTTCAAATTCTACACTGAAGTGGATGGGATTCCCACTTAAAGTGCCTGTATTATGCTATTTTCTGATCTGTTATAATGCTCTACCCTGATTCATCAACCC